AATGAGCACTGGGTGTTGTGTGTAAGCGATGAATCACGGGAATCTACCCCCCAAAACCAAGAGCACACTGTATACACTGTATGTTTGCCATTTTATTTTAAAAAATGAACAAATGTTAAAAACATTTTTAAATAGTGTTTTTGTATTGAATTTCTTTTCTTTCTATTCCATATATAAGAGAGATCATACATTATTTGTCTTTCTCTGTATTATTTCGCTAAGCATAATGCCCCTGAGGTCCATCCATGTTGTCACAAACAGCAAGATTTCATTCTTTTTCGTGGCTCAATAGTATTCCAGGGTGTGTGTGTGTGTGTGTGTGTGTGTGTGTGTGTGTGAAATACATAATATATACTGTACATACATATATATATGTATGTTATACATATAACAATTTCCTATCCATTCATTCACTGATGGACACTTAGGTTGTTTACATATCTTGGCTATTATAAATAATGCTGCAGTGAACACGAGGGTGCAGGTATCTTTTCCAGTTAGTGGTTTTTTTCCTTTGGATAAATTACCCAGAAGTGAAACAGTTGGTGACCTTGGGGTATGTCTATTTTTAATTTTTAAAAGAAACTCCATATTGTTCTCCATACTGACCAATTTACATTCCCCCCAACATGAGGGTTCCTACTCTTTCACATCCTCACCAACACTTGTTATTTCTTGTCTTTTGATAATAGCTGTTCTAGAGAGAGAAAAAAAAAAGCTATTCTGACAGGTGTTAGCTGATACCACATTGCAGTTTTGAGATTTTATATAAACACACCAGACTCTTCAGCATCATAATTCTCACCCATAAAATTTTGTGCGCAAAAACAGATAGCCATAGGAGTCCCGCGGGAGAAGTGCAAACAAGGCATTACCAAAATAACAGGTGGCAAAGAGTGGCTTTTAACAAGTAGACGAGCATGTAACTCAGTTTTTCTAGAAGACTCAGAAGACGTTTGAGAATTACTCAATGCTGCTGCTTTATCTGCATGACATCTGTTCGCTGTTGTCTTTGTGTGTGTGTGTAAGTGCTATGAAAAGAGATATCTGGCCAATAAAATGCAGAACTGGAGGGAATATGGCTTCAAAGTCAATTAAAAAGTAAAATATCAAAGCAACTTTGAGTTCAAAAACGGAACAGTTTTAATTAAATGGTTGTTAAACTCACTCTACTCTGACACGTTTAAATATTTAAAACTCAAAGTCCATTTCAGAGCATATTTTTTCCAACTACAAAGTGATTAAAATTATGGTTATGAGGCTCCAGATTAATATAACTGGGTGAGTTATCAAGAAATGAATTGGCCTCTTAGGGATTTTTGCTCCCAAGACTAATCATAGGGAAGAAGGTAAGGGGTGATTTCCCCCAAGACCAGGCAAAGTTTAGTATTCTAGACTCTGGGGCTTTCCCTCCCAGGGATGCAATTTACTGACTGTTTATTTTCTTGCCTTTTTTTTTTTTTTTCAATTTGATCAGGAAACTAACCCAAAGAGGTCTTTTCTGGAGGAAGACCTAGGCTAATTGAGATAACAGGCCTAGATTGTGAGGATAACTGGATGCACAAAAAGTGTTTTGAGGGGGGTGGGTGGGCTATGAGAATGGGGGTCAGGGAGGTTTGCTGAGACCAGAGGCCAGGGGGTGGGTCTGGACAATGACCCTCGGGAGTGACCAAGAAGACACAGGACACAGTCCTATTTTTCCTGGATCCTGGTGAAACCCAAGGGAAAGGAAGAGGACCATTTGCCATTGTGGGGGGAGGGGGCAGGAGAACACTATCAGATTTTGATTCCTCTTGGCAAGCGGAAGCTTAGAGACAGAGAGATGACATGACTCACAAAAATAAGGAGATATGATTCTTTTATACTTTGAGTACCAATAAGTACTTCTTTCCTCTTCCATCTGTTGTTTTTGTGTCTTTGGTTTTTTCTGCTCTTTCCTTCTACAAGTAGAGTAGTGTTCTTTCATTCCCTCCGCCTAACTTTCACTGCCTTGGTTTCCTCAGGGTAGCTGTAGGAGCTAGATGCCTTTATGCTGGTCCCTTGGGTCCTAAGTCAGTATCTCCCCAAACCAAGTACACTTTCATTTGGTGAGCACTAGAAAGCATCACCCGCCAGTCTGAGAACCAATTGTCCCTGCTTCCTAAGCGGCTCCATGAGTCTCCTTGCTGTCCTTCAAGAATCGGAATTATCGCATGACCCAACGATTCCACTCCTAGGTACACACCTCCCAGAAATGAAAACATGTTTATGCAAAATCTTGTGCACAAATGTTCACATGTATGACAAAACTGCATGGAACTATATGTGTAACACACACACGAATACACAGAAAACTGACAAATTTGAATATGGTACATGCATCGCACTGATGTCCATTTCCTGGTTGTGCTACTGTATGATAGCTATTCATGTTAGCCCCCAAATGAAAATAACTCGAATCATGAGCCAGTGAATGAAGAAACAAAATGTGTAATACCTATCTGGTGGAGTATTATTCGGTCATAAAAAGGGATGAAGTACTAATCCATGCTACTTTGAAAACATTGTGCTGAGACTAACCAGACCCAAAAGGACATCTATCTTTTATGGTTACATTTATAGGAATTATTCAGAATAGGCAATTCTACAGAGACAGAAGCAGGTTAGAGGTTCCCAGGGGCTGGGAGAACAGAAATTGGGAGTGACTAATAATAGGCACTGGGTTTTGTTTTGAGGCGATGTAGATGTTCTGGAATTAGATGATGGTGATGGTTGGGCAGTATCATGAATCTACTAAAAACTACCAAATTATACACTAACAAATGGTGAATTTCGTGTTATATGAATTTAAAAGTTTAAGATAAGAAAGAAAGAAAGAGAGAAGAAAGAGGAGCAGAAAGAAGAGTCCATTAGCCTTCAGGCAGAGCCCTCCCCTTCCTGGTGACACAATCTGACATACATCGTACCCACAGCGACAGCCTGTGGCTGAGGACCCTGCCGCCAGCATTGTGTGTTCTGACCCCATAGCCCTGCTCCCAACACCAGCTCTGCTCTGAGCGGTGGCTGCTGGCCAAGCTCCCCACTTCCGTATGGGCGTGCTGATTTGGAGCCATCAAAGGAACCGCCACTCGCATCACTCCTGCAGTGTAGACACTGCACCTCAGAAACTCAGCTGCTCTGCAGTCAGTTCAATATCCTTTGGCCCGAGAAAATGGGCCTTGGACTTTGTTGGCAGAAACAAAGCTACCGCGTTGCCAAGGGCGGAAGTGGGCCAACCCTCAAAGTTGCGGTCATCAAGTTAAAATGAGGTTATTAGGATTCGGGTGGGTGGGTCCTAATTCAATATGGCTACAAAAAGGAGAAATTCGGACACTGCACACAGAGAAGGAAGACAGCGTGAAGATATACAGGAGTGGGTGGCCATGTGCCTGGAGGGACGCATCTACAGGCCCACGGACACCAAGAATTGCCAGCAAACACCAGAATCTGGAAGAGGCAGTGGAGGACGTGCCCGGAGAGGCTTCCAAGAGAGCAGGGCCCAGCCAACACTCCTGGCCTCAGAACTGTGAGAGAATCGTGTTGTTTTAAACCACCTGGTTTTGGTACTTTGTTACACCAGCGCCAGGAAAGCAATGCATGAGTGATGGCACAGGGCTGTTGCATGCTGGAGCTCCTACATTCAAAAAAAGAAACCGTCGTGGAACCTGGGTGGCTCAGTCCGTTGAGCGGGTGGAGCGTGTGATCTCTCTGTTTGTGACTTCACAGCTCAGGTCATGATCTCACAGTTTGTGAGTTCGAGCCCCACATCAGTCTCGCTGTTGTCAGCACGGAGCTCACTTCAGATCCTCTGCCCCCTCTCTCTCTGCCTCTGACCCTCCTCTGCTCCCTCTCTCTCTCAAAAATAAATGAAGGAAGGAAGGAAGGAAGGAAGGAAGGAAGGAAGGAAGGAAGGAAGGAAGGAAGGAAGGAAGGAAGGAAGGAGCCATCATGAGTGCTATTCAGAAATGAACTACTCATAGGGCAACCTGAAGGGATCTCAAGGGGCTCGTACTGAGTGGGAAAAGTCCACCTCTTACAAGCAGTCTTCAAATGACAAAATCACCGAGATGGAGCAGAGATCGGTGGTTGCCAGGACTTAGGGAGGGGGTGTGAGAGGAGGGTGGCTCTGGCTATAAAAGCAACGAGGACAGTCCCCTCCTGTGACCCGCGCGGCTCTGTGTCACACCTGCACAGAGGCAAACCCACTCACGAAGGGATGCGTGGAAACCTGACCGAATGTGACTACGGCCTCGGGATCACGTCAAGGTCACCTTCCTGGCTGGGATACTGTGCTTCAGCCGCTGGAGGTGTTCCCACCGCCCAAGGGACTGCAGCCCAGAGTCGTCCGTCCCGCAATGACACCCCTGTCACCGGCACTTTCCGGGCTTTCTCATTACAGACCGGTTCTAAACGTCAGGCTCCACTCGAGATCCCAAGAAAGGGGAGACCCCGCCCGCCAGGGGGGCAGACGGCAGGTTGGGAGAACCCGTCAGAGGCGAACCCGGAGCCCTCCCGGCCCCCTCACGTGTCTGGGGCGTCCCCGGAGGAGGCGGACGCAGCGGGATGCGGACGGAGCGCAGGGGCCCCGGAGGCAGGTGAGCTCGGGGCCCGCGCCCGCAGCGACGCCGGGGAAGCCGAAGTCGCAGCGCCAGGCGGGGCCGCGCGGCAGGACGCAGGTGCGAGCGCCCAGCGGCCGCGCTCGCGGGTAAGGGTGCGCCTCCTGGGGCTGTGCCGACCCCCGGCCGGGGGGACGCGAGAGCCGGCGGCCGTGTGGGGTCCCCGGGGGCGGGGCGGGCCGCGGGCCCCGCAGGTGGCGGCCCGGGGCGCGGGCGGCGGCGCGGGGGGCACGGCGGCCGCGGGGCTTTTCCGAGAGGAGGGGGTGGGGACGCTGAGTCACTGATCTGTCGCCGCTCCTCACCTCTCCCCGGCCCTCCGGGGGCTAAAGCAAAAGCGAAAGCGAATGCGACTGGCGGGGCGGCCAGTCCCGGAGCGGCGCCCGCCACCTCCTCGGGGACGGTCGGGCATCTGCCCGCGCGGCCGGCGGGGCGTCGGGGCGGCCCGGGGTCCGGACATGGCCCGGCGGCCGCCCCCGGGCTGCGGGCTCCGCGCGCTCCCCGCGCTGCTGCTGCTGCTGCTCCGGCCGCCGGCGACGCCGGGTAGGGAGAGGCGCGCGTCCCCGGCGGGGAGGGGTGGGGGGAGGCAGCGGGGGCGCCCCACCTCCCGCGGCCGCGGGTGCGGGCCGGTGCCCGGGGCAGGGCGCTGCGCCCGCGCGCGGGGACACGTGGACGGGCGGTGGGGAGGGCTCCCCGGGCAAGGGAGCCGCGCGCCTTCCCAGTTTCCGACGCGAAGGGACGGAGCCGGGGTTGCCCGGGGGGGGGGGGGGGGGGGGGGGGGGGGGGGGGGGGGGCTCCGGGTCTGAGGTTCCCGGCCGTTGGGAGAAATCTGTGACGCCGGTTGTCCGAGCCCCCCAGGGAAAACCCAGCCGTCTACACCGCAGGCGGAGCCCGCGGGGGTCCGAGGAAGACCAGCGGGTCTCCGCCCTCGTACCTGAGCGGACGGTACCGGAGCGCGGCCGCAGGACGGGGTAAAACCGCGTCCCGGGGCAGAGAAAACGTGTGGCGCCAGTTGCATTCCCGAGGGACCTTGGAAACAAGTCCAAGTTCTTAAGCTGCAGGAAACCGCGAAGGGCGCGGGAGCGGCGGTGCAGCCCGGAGTTCGCGCGCCCCGGCCGGGGAGGGGGCAGACACCAAGTCGGCGATGGCTCGGTGTGTTCCAGACGATCGCAGGTCGTTAGACGTAATCTCAGCAGGAAGCACCGGGGGAGTGACCCATGGGTTTTCATCCCGGGAGCCAGAGAGGAGGGAGGGAAAAGGATCCATGGCTCTGACTTTGTCCTTGTTGAGGCTTCTTCATCCTTTGACGGTCCGGAAGCGACCTGAGGCTCTGATGAAGCCTCCAGGCCCTCTCCCCAGAAAAATGCATCGATGCGCCCGCATAGAATTGGGGGGCCAGGGATTCACTGAAGGCCATCCATCATAGACTCTCCGAGTGTTGGTTAACTCCATGATGCGTGTGTGTGAGAGGTGAGACTCCCCATCATTCACACCCAGGACGTAATCCGGGCTCTCGGCTGTGGCTCTGCGGGGTTTCATGAAGTTTTATTTTCTTCACACTATTGGTTTTCCCCACATCTGAGCGTCTGACTTAGGCTGGTGACCTCTCAGTTCCTCTCACCCCGCTAGCCAGGGTGCCCCGCGGCCAGCAGGCCGGGGCAACTTTACCCGCACGATGTGAACGTGACACAGGCCGCTGAGTCAGAGCCCAGCCAGGCTGTGCGCGTCCAAGTGCGGACGACGCTGTGGGAAAGGTCCCCAAAGCTCACCCACCACAGCGGGGTCGTTGGCCTCACCAAGGTATTGCTGCCACTCAGCAGCTCCTGATGTTTCCTCCTATTTCCTGCACCGTTTTTACTGAAACGCAATACATAATAAGCTTCATACATTTAATTGCACGATCCGATAAGTTTAGAGGTAAATGTATACAGTCAGGAAACCATCATGATCAAGAAGGGCAATATAATCATCGCCACCAAAAGTTTCCTCTTGCCCTCTGTGATGCTTGCCTCCCAACCAGCCTATCCCCCAGGCCACCATCGTGGGCTTTCAGTCACCGGACTTGCTGCGATTTCTAGAATTCTCTGTATATGGAATCATCCAACGTGTACACTTTCTTGTCTGGCTACTTTCACTCAGAGTAATTATTCTGAGAATTCTCCCTCCATCTTGTCATTTGTATTAAGAGTTCACTCCTTTTTATTGCTGAGTAGTATTTCATTTCATGGGTATCACATCGTTTGTTGATCCATTCAGTTCTTACTGGACGTCTGGGTCGTTTCTGGTCTGAAGGTGCTACATTTAAAGCTGTGATGAGCATTCATCTGGAGGTTTTGTGTGGACATGGGCTTTCCTTTCTCTTGGGTAGAGAAGGTGGGAGTGGAGTCGCTGGATCATGTACATTCCCATTAGCAAGGGTCTGAGTTCCAATTCCTCCACATCTTTGTCAGCACTTGGTGTGGTCAGTTTTTTTTTCCTTTAAAATTTTTTCCCAGCCTTATTGATATTATTGACATATAACATTGTGTAAATTTAAAGTGTACAACACAATGATTTACTATATGTACTTCTTAGGAAGTAATTACCACCATAAGGTTAACACTTTCATCACCTCATATATTTACCAAATTGTGTGTGTGTGTGTGTGTGTGTTTCATCAGTCTCTTTAGTTGTACCCATTCTAATAAGGTGGGTAGTGAACCCTTGTAATTTGAATTTGTGTTTTTCTAATAACTAATGATGTTGAGCATCTTTACATGTGCTTATTCACCATCAATGTATCTTCTTTGGTAAAGCATCCGGTTAAAACTTTTGTCCTTTTAAAAACTGAGTTGCTGAAATATTATTGAGTTTCCAGAGTTCTTTATATATTTTGGATACAAGACCTTTATCAGATATGATTTGCAAATATTTTCTGAGTCTGTGGCTTGTCTTTTCATTCCCTTAACAGTGTCTGATGAAGAACAGAAATTTTTAATTTTGATAAAGTTCAATTTATTAATTTTTCTTTTATGTATAATAGCTTTCAGTGTCATCTCTAAGAAATCTTTGTCAAACTCAAGGTCACAAAGATTTTCTTCTAGAGATTTTATAGCTTTAAGGTTTTACATTTATGTCTGTGATTTGTTTTTGAGTTAATTTTCTATATAATATAAAGTATGGATTGAAGGTTCCATATTGCCTTGGTTTCAGGTTTTGTTTTGTGTATGGATATACGATTGTTCTAGCACTATTTGTTGAAAAGATGATCTGATCTGAACTGCGCTTATACTTATTTTGAACATCTGCTGTTCACATAAGTGTTGGTTGCTGTTGACAAAACATCAGTCCATGAAAATTATTTACATTTCTATACATTAGCAATGAGCAAATGGAAATTGAAATTTAAAAAATATGTATCATTTTCAATATCATCAAAAAGTATGAACCACTTATGGATAAATCTGGCAAAAGGTAAGAAAGACCTGTACACTAAAACCCACAAACCACTGCTGAGAGAAATGAAAGCAGACCGAAATAAACGGAGATATATACCATGCTCATGGAATAGACAAACCAATATTGTTAAGGTAACAATCCCCTCCCCCAACCCCAAGTCAAAATTTCAGCAGGCTTTTTGCAGAAATCGACAAACTGATGGCAAAATTCACAGGGAAATGCATAAGACACAGTGTAGCCAAAACGAATTTGAAAAACAACTGAGTTGGAGAATAACCCTTCTGACTTTGAGACTTATTAATAAGGTTACAATAATCAAGACAACAGAGTATTAGGGTAAAGATGAACAGAGAACTAAGAGACTAGACTGTGGCTAATGTTTTTAAATGAGCTAGGAAGGGAATTGGATACAAATTATTAAATTTGCTACTTGGTACTAGGATCCTAGTCAGAAATTATAGAGAGAAGCCCATTCCTTATCACCAGCTAAGCAAATAATACAGTCTCAGATATGTTCCTGCTAGTTTACAGTGCTAACAGACACCGCAAGGGGCTGTTATCTGTTCTTATTCAAAAGGCATGATTTGGAGGGGAAACCCATCATTTTGGCAAGAAGTCATTTACTTCTTAAAGATCCTCACAACCTGAAATGTTGCGGGTGATTTGCCAAAAGCAGCTGGAGAAAATGATGATTTGTTTGAAGATAAATATATCTCACCAACTTGGGTTTTGACTTTGGGGTGGTTTTACAATTTATGTGTGTTTAAACATTTTTAAACCATTTTTCAGAATTCTAGGGAGTTTTGCTCAAAGCTTTCATTTTTTTAATTTCAAATCCATCTTCTCTAGCTATTATTGCTTTGTACTGCTACTCATAGCCAAAACAGTGATAAAAACTTTAATGCACAAAATGTGGGGTTTATTGAAATCAGCCTAAATGTTCAACAGTGGAGGACTACATAAGTAAAGGGAAGTTGCTTCCAAATAATATGCATCATACTATTCAGTTTTTACTAGAAGATCTACAAGTAGTTGTCATTGAGCAGGGAGATATTATGGGTCGTGTGTGTGAGTGTGTAACTGTCTGCCTTTTCTAATTTTTCTGTCATAATTCAAATTGCCTTTGTAAAAAAGAAAATCAAACTACAAAAAGAGTAGCACAAAAACGATATAGAATTTGGGGATTTTCTCAGATTCATTTTTAATCAATTATAGCTGATCTTGCTTGGCAATGTTTTCATGACTTTATAAATTTTGCGAATTGGTTTTATAAAGTCACCATATATAACATTTGTTCATAGTTTTATATATATTATAATATTTTATACCTACATTTTATAATATTTTAGTTTGTTTAAACAGTTCCTTCTTTCTAGAGATGTGTGTTGGCTGGATATTTAGGTCATTTCAAAATGTTTCACGTTCCGAGGCACCTGGGTCAGTCAAGCAGCCGACTCTTGATTTCAGCTTAGGTCATGATCCAGGATCATGGGATCGAGCCCTGTGTCGGGTGCTGAGCATGGAGCCCTCTTACGATTCTCTCTCTCTCTCTCTCTCTCTCTCTCTCTCTTTTTTTCTCTCCCTCCCTCCCTCTGTCTCTTTCCTCCTCTCTCTCTGTACGCGCACACACACACACACACGTATGTATATATATAATAAAAGTTTTTTTTAATGTTTGATGTTCTAAAAAGCACACAGTGGGAATAATTGGATGAAAATAAGCTATACAGAGCAAAACAGGCAGGGAAAATACCTCAACATCTAAAAAGAAAGTGAAAGAAATGCTTCTGGGGATATTCTTTTTCAATCGAATCATCACTTCAAAACTAACTTGTTTTGGGCTAAATCACCTGTGCCAAATTGATTCTACCAAAAAGCGTGTAACTCAGTGAATCCATGTATAAAACCCCCCATTATACACACTGGGAAGTGATATCCAGGTTACTCATTAAACATGGCTGATGTTATTTGAATGTCTTCTATTAGGAAAGACTTGATCTTCTGAGCAGTAGGAAGCCACTGAAGGTCTCTGGGCAGGAGGGACATTATTGGACCTACACAGTAGAAAGACTGCTCTTGTAAAGAATGTGAAGAGTCAACTCTAG